ATCCATTCCTCAGGAACTTAAAGATGCATCCATCATACACCTCTACAAGAGGAAGGGCAATCAACAAGTATGCGATAACCACTGAAGGCAAGTTCTGATTTCAGTAGATTGTGCTCCACTGTGTAGGAATGTCAAGGAAATTAGTCTGGCAACAAAATTGAAGGTCTGCAGAGCCGTGGTACTCACTACCCTTCTGTATGCCTATGAAACGTGAACTCTGTATCGAAGGCATACAAGATAGCACAACCATTTCCACATGATTTGTCTTTGCAGAATATTAGGCATCGCATCGATGACTAGATAAAGTACCACACACTGAAGCTCTCTCTAGAGCAAGTCTACCAACAATCTATACAATGCTGATGAGACCACAGATCTAGTAGGCAGGTCATGTCATCTGTGTGCCGGATGAGAGCATATCCAAACAGCTCTTTTTTGGGGAACTTTGCTGGAAAACGCTCGCATGGAGGGCAGAAGAAATGTTACAGAGATACATTAAAGGCCTCTCTGACATAGACACAACCGCCTGGGAAACACTGGCACAAAATTGCTCTACTGGTGTGGCCTTATCCATAGGGTTGTCAAGCTTACAAAGTAAGGTGCACTGTGGAAGCACAACATAAGCATGAGCTGTGGAAGTTTAGAGCCATCAGTGCAAAAACTGCAGTGTCTACACATGTTTGCCCAACATGTGCCAGGACGTTCTGTGCCTGAATTGGCCTGACCAGTCATCTTTGGACACACAACATTTAGTTTTAACGTGACTAATGGTGTTGAAGTCTTCATCAACAATGATGGACGAACAACATGCTCTTACTATGTCTAGTGAGAGCAACTAGATGAGAGAGTGATATCATAGCTTCATATCTGTGAAATCTGAATTTAACCTTATTTGGTACTTGTGGTTATGTATAGGAAAAATAAGATTTACATTTGCAATAACAGACATTATCTTTCCAGATAAAGTTTTAATTTCCTCACATCTATAAGTTAGCGTAACATAGTAAAGGGGTTTCTGGCATAAATCAAGCCCTGTATAACTTCTGTGCAGGAGAATTCTAGGCATAGTTAGACTGTATTTATGACACGTTAAGATGTTAACTGTTATTTCCTATAACTGGAGAAGGGAGATAATTCTGATTTGTGGAAAACCATAATGTATGAAGTGATTAATTTAGGATATAATTACAATATGAGACACTTTTTTCTTCAGTGATAAATCTTGCATTGCTGCTTGAGTGTTATAAACTTCTTTTTAAAATCTTTGCTTTGTTTTTAAGTTTGGAATTTTATTTTAGCATTTCTGATTTTTTTTTTTGGCAGTGAATACATTTAATTTCATAGTATATGAATATTTTATGTAATCATAAATGACATTTTGTGAAATTATTTTCATGGACAAAAATACTGAAAAGAATTCCATAGATTTGTCCATACATTACTCAAAATCATACTTCACAGGCCATCTTATTTCAGTAGGGTCTAAGTTTAAAATCAGTGCAACTTCTAGGATTTTGTTGCTATTTATTACAAGGCAAATGGTACCATTTTTTTCTCAGAATTTCAGTTCAAGATTAAATAATTGATCTTATGCATATTAATAATAATAATTTATTAAATTTATATGCTGCCCAACTCCCAGCAAATTATAGAGACATGGATAGTTAATCTGAACCAGTTTTTTCCCCCAGCTTATTTGTAGTAGATATACTAAAGCTTTGAATATCAAGAAACAACAGGAGCATATTTCTGCATAATTTTTTATACGGATGTCTGTAAAAGAAGTTTGCTACTGTACTTTCCTGAACTAAGGAAAACGCTATATTAGGGTAATAATTCTTATATTTAAAGATGGTTGTTTGCAGGCTTCAATTAAAAAGAAAAATGTACATATTGTATATACCTGAAAAGGAGATATTTAATACATTAAGTATAGGATTAAGTTTTTGTGTATGTATTTAATCATGCTTGTGATTTCTGAAGGTTAGAAATAAGTCTTTATTTTTTCCTTTTAAAGACGCTGTGTGGACAGTAATGACTGGACGTTTCCGATTGCCTGCTGGCAGAACCTACAATGTACGAGCATCTGAGCTGGCACGAGACAGACAGCATACAGAGGTGGTCTGCAATATTCTTCTTCTGGATAATACTGTACAAGCATTCAGACTTAATGTAAGTACAGTGTTTTAGAAGGCATTCTTGTAATACAACATTAATTTCATTTTTAACCATCTTATAACAAATTTTAACACAAAATAGAAGAATAGAATTGGGAGGGGCCAAATTCAACCCCCAGTTTGGTGCAGGAATCCAAATTAAAGCATCCCTGACAGCTTATTATCAAATCTCCATTTAAATATATCCAGCAAAGGAGAGTTTTCTATAGTAATTGGTTTCACTCCAAATTTCCTTGCTATCTGAAATTTTTCCTAACAGTCAACAAAATCTGCCTTCCTGTAACTTAATACCATTATTTTATGTCCTGCTCTCTAGGATGACAGAGGATAGGTCATTGTGTTTTCCTGTGTGGCATTCTTTTAGGAACATGAAGAGTGTTCTTAAATTTCCCACCCATTTGCCTTTTCTCAGGGCTAAACATGCCTACTTCCTTTAGCCTCTTTTCCTTTCAAGATTTAGTTTCTAGTCTCCCCATCATTCTTGTTTCCTGTGTTTTGCATCTGTTCATGTTTTTCTGATTCCTCTTACAGTATTGTACCTAGAACTTAATACACTGCTTGAAGTGGTCTCAGCAATGCAGAATACAGTGGAACTATTACTTTTTCATGATTTGGGAACTGTGCTTCTACTAATAAAGCCTTGATGTTGTTGTTTTGCCTTTTTGCCAGCACATCAGATTCGTGGTATATATTCCTGTTCTGATAATCTACCATTAAAAAATGACAAGAAGAGTAATCTGCTATAACAATTGTTTTGCCTTCTTTCGTGCCTCTTTTACTGGGATTTCCTAGAATATTTTTGTAAAAAGACCAGATGTCTCTGTCCTGATCTTGTGGGGGGGGGGGCACTTTAATATACAAATAATATTTTAGGAACCGAAGTGAAAAACAGTATAGTTTGTTTTTAGCCTGTAGTCAGTGGCTCCATGAAATGGATTAATGTGCAAGAAAGACCAGTACCAAAAAGATTCTAATTCATATTACAGTTCAACTATAGATTAGCAAAGGTGGCATAGACAAATAGTTATTTCTCTTTCTCAGGCTTCTGTTTTCAATACAAAGTGTTAATAGATTGCATTTTTGTTCTGTAGGCCACATATAATATTTATATGAATAATTCCTGGGGAACCAAGGGCTTCTTGGTTGTTCCTACTGTCATATAAATACAAACATTATTTAAAAGTATATGCACTAATTTGATGGTACAATGATAATTTCAAAATAAGAATTAGAAATTAGGGGACTATGTATTTGGGAGTAGAGCGGAGTTGTAAGAAGGCATACAGTATTTATCTGTATTTATGTATTTTTTCCCCTCACATATAATGTGTGATGGACATTCACTGAGAATAGAAAAGGCTGTTGAAAACAAATGAATGGGCAGGAGGTACAGATGGCTGTGGATGTCCCTGCTGAGGATGACCTTGAAGATCAGCTTCACCAGCCACTTGGGAGGTGTGGAGCTCATCCCTGCTGTTCATGCATTTTAATCCTTTCTGTAACACACAAGTAGGGCTTCTTTCTTTTTTCTTTCCTGCCCTGACCAGTTATCTCCTCTCTCTTCTCTTCACATTTCCATTCAGTTTCATTTTTCTCCTCTTATATTTTGTCATAGTAGCTACCCCTTCCCTTAATCTATCTCAACAATGCTTCTTTTTCTTTTTCTTTTTCTTTTTGTTGTTCTTGATGGAAGGAGGGTGAGGAATATGTGCATACTGTTTTACTTGTATGCAAAAGAATATTTGATATACAGTGGGAACATTTTTATAAGTAGAATACCTTATCAGCAACAAATTTTAATTAGTGATTATTATTTAAATATCTTTTTCCCTCTTGGCCCTGCTTTTTTTTTAAATTATTTTTTGGAATATGACCTCTGGGATGTATATACCCTTATGCACACCCTCTTATGCACATACATATATAACTATGCTACATGCATATATTTATTGTGGGTGGGGGGAGATCTCCAGAAGAACTTTTAGCTGGAGTCGCACCTTTAAATTGATAAGGTATAGAAAATGGGCATTACGTAGAATTTTAGACTATGTTCATTTTATTTTTTCTGTCTCCAGATTCAAATCAGTATCTTCCTTTCAAATAAATTCAGTCATTTGAAAGGGTGGTGCTTCATAATTCTAGACTTCAGTATCTTTTCTGATTTGTCATTCGTGAATATGGATTACTTTTTTGCAGTAACATCTTCGCAATGTTGCCAATTTGCAAATGTGAAACAATCTTCTTGTTTAAAATACTGACCATGATCTAATTCTAGTTTTTTGAAAGATATTTCTTGGCCTATTAATAGTCAATGTATTGTTCCTTCTGTTCTGTATTTTCCCTCTTTTACTTACTTGGCTATATTATGCTGGTTAAAGAAGTCTAAGATGTTTTTTAAAACATGAGCATTATATTGTATATGACAGCATATTTTACACTGCTTAGTATGTCAAAAACATTGCAATAAGATGAACCAGATAATTCCATAAAGGTAACTAGTAAAAACTAGTAAAACTAAAAACTAATTTTTACTTTTTTGATAATATGCAAAGAAGGAATTTGTACATCCATATTCTGAGAACCTGAACATGCATTGATGCTTATATGTCTCATCTACTTAGAAGTACACAAAGAGAAGGTGTGGTTCAGTTTTGAGACTCTCTGGGAAGTATTTATGGAATATATTAAGATGTGAGTTGTCTGTGGCATTTCTTGGATTAAAACAACAAGGCCCCTCCTATTTGGGTGGAAGTGCTGCTAATATTACCTAGTTCCTTCTCTTCCTCCCATTTCTGTCTACCATTTATTTTGAATTCTTGTGGGTTGAAATTGGCAGGGTGTGTGTGTTCATGTGGAGAACTGTCCTTGCAACTCAAAGTGATTTCCCCATGTCCTTTTTTTTAACCTTTGCAGCACATAGTATAGCTGTTTTCTTCAAAAGTTGAAAGAATTCTCCTAGTATACCTAAAAATGGAACCTTGGTCAATTAAATGTCTCAGTATTTCTCCCAAATGATACTAAGCTAAAATAAGAATACACATAATATGCATTTTTTTATTTTAATGTTTTTGGACATTTAAAAAATTAAAATGGGTATCTCTTGGTTTCCCCAAAAAGCCAATTACAGCACAGAGGCATGAATATTTACTCAGATTCTTATGTTCTTCAGTGATGAACTAATGTAACTAATATTTATTACTTGAATTCACTATAAAACAAAGTATGACAACAAAATTCAGCATTAACGCAGTGCAAAACTGTCAGGCTCTCTGAATCAAAGGGGGAAATTAATCTAATTTTTCTTGGTAGTATTTTCTAGTGTATGCTAAATGTGTTTTCCAATTAAATTTAAATGTTATGAATATTCCAGCTGTAACCAGTAGTAATTTTTACTTATCTTTGTCATTAGTTAAGTACTTGGTCTTTGCTGATCATAAGCAAGTTCTGTCTGACTTAGGTTCATAAAGGGAAAGGCATTTTTCCCCCCAAATCCTGTCAAAATATTGCATCTTCACAAACTTAAAAATGTAGATATGGAAAACAGTGTGTACTGTACTTGTTCTTTCATGTGAAAAGCTTCATCATTTAATGCAGTGTTCTTAAACTGGGGGTAATTACTCCCAGGGGGGTGATTTGGGCATATCTAGGGGTAATGGGGCAATTTGTAATAGCTTGTTTGTGAGTCGATGATCCAGTTTGGGATTGCCGCTGCTGAGACGCTTGTGTAAAACGAGTCTGGTTTTTTTTGTTCTTTTTTTTGTTTTGTTTTGTTTTTGTGGAGGTGGTAATGACATTATTTCAAACTGGGAAACAGGATAATTGGGTCAAACAGTTTAAGAACCACTGAGTTAGTGGGAATTTAATTTTAATATATACAGAAAGGAAATTACAAAATTGGCCAGCAGGTCAAAGTATGAAAGGTGTTATAAAAGAAGGTACAGAGTCTAAAAGGTACAAAGGAAATAAAGGTGTGGTTAAGCAGCATACCTGTCAGATATAAGAGGAAGAGACAGGTTTATATTCTCATGGGCAGGGCAGACTTGTTGAAAATATTCTACAAGTTCTAAGTCTACAGTGAAATATAGTGGAAGTAGATAAATCATTTAATTCTGAAATGTATACTGAAATACAATCATTTCAACATGTGCAACTAAATTCAGTTATACTTTGCAAGTGAAGAAATAGTTAAAGCATATTGGAAAAGTGTGCTATATGTAGTTCAACCAGTATTAACTGCCTCTTATTAACAGCTTCTTTACCACCCATTTCAATGGTCCAAGAATAACTGAAAGAGAAATTGTAAATGAATGTGATCCTATAATCTCAGAGTCATCAAGAGATGCAATAAAATTCAGTCACTGAGATGAAAAGAATTAATTAGAATTTAATCAATCTTTTTTTTAAAAAGGTGCTAGATCTTTGCTCCACTAATTTTTTTAATCCACAAAAGGAAATTTATATAAAAGGAAAAAAAATCTTGAATTTTTGTTGAAATTCTGTTGAAAAAAATTCATAAGCAAAAGAATTGAAAGATGAGCATTTTTATATATGTATATTTATCCTATTTAGGTATATGTTCGGTTTGGTTTGCTACATGTCTATTTTTGAAAGAGGCCTGTTAGTCTCTCTTCCTAAATTTCTGTATTATTTGGGGCTGGTGGCAATCATTAGCGGCAAGATACTAAGTTGAACCTTTAGTTTTATCTGAAAACTATTTTAATTATTTTTTTCTTTCTACAGAAACATGATCAGGGGCAAGTTCTGTTGGATGTAGTTTTCAAACATCTTGATCTGACTGAGAGAGACTATTTTGGTTTACAAGTGGCTGATGATTCTACTGATAACCCAGTAAGCTATATAGTATCTTATTTTCAGAAAAAAGTCTTCCTTTTTTCTCTTCTCCTGGAATTTGAAATTACGTTTTATTGATCATAACACATATGATTATTCTGAGGCTGCTGATAGAGCATTTATTGTGAACAATGTATTGTTCGCTTTTCACTTCTTTTCCACCCTGAAATAAATCTGGACAATTGTTTTCCGGTGCAATACAAATATCTTCAGTTTACTCTTACTGCAAATTTCTGAGTTCTCTGGCCCGTTTAAATTATAACAGGTGCCACTGGAAGGGAAATGAAAATCAGGAATATTCTTATCCTGTCCAGTTCTTGGTGTAGGTTATAAAGTTACCAGAGATATTCAGTTCTCAAGCCAGATATGAATTTATGTTAGAAGAAATCTCAGCTCTGTCAAAGAATCCCTGTTGCTACCATTCATTCTAGGGACCTTGGAAAAATATTGGAGGCTGGTCACTAATTATCAAAGCTTGTGGGATCCAAATATTGATCTTTCAATAGCTTCTTTTAGAGGAGATGGAATATATATCTCTTGATTTTTTCCCCATACTTCATCTATTTAGCCAGTTTGCCTCTGGCACATCTTAGCACTCTGGGATAGAGAAGAATGGAACAGTAGGTATTTCAGTGACTGAGAAAAATTTAACTCTTATAGAGAATTGCAGTGGCACAATTTGGGAACTGCAGGGCTATACATTAGTTGTTTCCATTTCAAATATTATCTGTGATTCTATACTCTTGTGGATTTTTTCTTCAGCTATTGTAATTCAGTTAGCTGAACTATATTTTGCAGTTAATTACTGTAGTTCAGCAGGAATATCTATTTATTGTCTTTGAGGTTATTCAAATAAATATTTCATTTTTTAGTTCTGTTCTCCTGGTTGTCTAGTTTTGTAGCCTAAGATAATTCTTACAGAAGGTTAATATATTGCTGATATATAGAAATCATAATGGGCACTTCCAGAGGCCTGCTCTTGCTCCAGCTGTTTATAATAATGAAAACACTTAGGTAAGAATGCTGTAAATATTTTAATCTCATTTAATCTCATGCAAAGTAGTTAATGATCTTTTGTGACAAAGGACATGAACAATATGTCATAGACTGTTAAAGAGCTTTGGCAAATACATTAGATGGGATATTTAAGAAAAATATAAAGGTTAATTGTTACTTGTTGCTTTCAGAGTGGGCCCTTCCTTTCCTTTTCCACACAAATATAATTTTCTTAATAGAATTATTAACTTTGTGAGCCCAAGAAACTTATAAATAAATGTTGAATTGTGCTAATGTGGTTTCAGCAGTGGGAGGAAGAAGATGGAGAAGGTCAGCTGGGGGTGGCAGGGGTGATGGGGGCGTAGAGCGACAAGGGCAGCGGACTACAGGATGGCAGGAGTGCAGGGCAGAGTGCAGGGCAACAGGGGCGGCAGAGTGCAGGACAGCAGGAGTGGTGGAGCTTGGGGCAGCAGAGTGCAGGGTGGCTGAAAGGGCAGAGATGAGAGATAGGTGGGTGGGGGGAGTTGAAGCAGAGGCTAGCACAGCAGGGCAGGAAAAGAGTGAGATCCTCGCCTAACGATGGTGCGGTCCTGGCGTAATGACTGCCACTGGGACTACTGAAACTGCTATCCCTAAGCAGTGCCATCATGCGATGTTTTGCCTAACAACCACATCGCTTAGCGATGGAAATTCTGGTCCCAATTAGGGTCATTAAGTGAGGAGTACCTGTAATCACAAATCTTACTTGTCTTCTGATTACAGACTTCTTTCTGTAAATCAAATATGAGCACCACTAAAAAGGCAATAGCTACGTCTCATGGAAATTGGTAACCCCACCACAGCACCCACTCACCCTCCCTACACTTCTTGCCTGGGATTCCCACCTCTTCCTACTTCATGACCTGCATGGTCCTGGGGTTACAACAGCAACTAGGACTGCCAGGATTGTCGTTGCTAAGTGATGCAGTTATGTGGCATCACACTTTATGACCATATCACTTAGCAGCAGAAATTCCAGTCCCAATTGCCATTGTAACCCGAAAACTACCTGTATCTCTTGAATTAACCAATAAAACATTTATAGTACAATAACAAAAAGAAAACTATAGTTACTATGCCAGATTCTACAGACAGTAAAGAAAACTATATTGAAATTTATGCAACAGAACTTGTAGTCATGCACTATCGCCCCAAAGCTCAACAAACCACCTGACAAACATGGTATTTGCCTTTTTAAATGCAATTTGAAAGCTCAATATAGGACTGATAATCTTTCCATTTACATCCTCTAATTATTCAAACTACATATCAAAAACCCAGGTAATCAAAACATGATTTTTTAAAGTAGTATGGAACAATCAAAATATCTTTCAAGCTTGAGACTTTTCAGTAACCTTAGTTTTTGTGCATCTCTATTTTAGCCACTGATTACATAAAGGAAAACAGAGTATTTGGGATTTTCAAGGAACTGTCCAATTCAGACCCAGCTGTTAAAAATAGAATGGGAAAATACCATTTTGAAATGTGTATGCATTTTAAAAACACACTTTTAAAAATGAAATAATAAATGTCTTGCTTTTTGACCTTAGTCTGATTCTCATCTGCAGTTCCAATTGCCGCTACATCGAGCCAACTTCCTTTTTTCTCCTTTTCTGTCCTGATCTTTCAGTCTTGTTAATATTATGCTGAGAAAGCCAGCTTTTAGCAGAAATACTTCAGCAAAAATACCTTCAAAATCCAAATGTAATGTAGGGTTCATTTAAAAAAAAAACTACTGTGACTAGACTTAGTACAGCATACTCAGTTTAGCTGTTTGTTGGGTCCAGTAAAGCAGATTATCTATTATATCTGAATGAGGTCTTATACATATCTATTTTATGTAAAATGAGATTTTACATGCACAAAAGCATATAGCATACAGACAGATCATGTCTGTTTCCTCGAAAGTTTGCTAAACAAATCCATTAAATCAAGGGTTTGCTGTATTACTAAACAGCTTTAACAAGGGTATCCAACTTGATTTTAAAATAAAAATTTCTCCACTAATTGTTCTTGGTATTCTTAGTGTTCATCTTAAATATATATTAATATACACTACTGTTTTTGTCATTACAGTTTCTTTTAACCTAAATAACTTTTCTCCTGTAACTTTCTCCATTATGTTTGCTCATTTTTGTTAATGTAATATTTGTAATATTTTCAAATTCTCCCAAGAATCACATAGTAAATAGTGTCTTGTTGGGTTTTTTTTATATATATTGTACTATAAAGTCACTTAGCAAAGCATAAAAATTTTGTTTGTTGATTTTTATAAAAATCAAATCATAGTGATTGTGCAGTAGCTTGAATGATAAATCCTTCTGTGATGATTCTGTCTGCAGAGAATGAGTTCTAGAAATCATTGGACAAGAAAAGCAATCATTGAATATTGCACACACAGATTAGTAACACACCCACTGGCTCACAGTACTGAGAGGCAAAATTAGGCAAGCGTAATTTCCTAAAGAAAATAAAACTATTTTAAACAGGATACATGTGGCCTTTTGTTCTTTCTAATCACCAGGGTGCACATATAAATTCAAATTGTCCCAAATCGGTTTCTTGTCAGTTTGGGGAGGCAGGGGAGGGAAGCTGGTATTACATGTTCATTACAGGTGTTTCCAGTTGAATGTATTAAATCAAAATAAAATAAAATGTATCTTTATTAATCCAGAAGTTAAAACTGATAGGGAAAATAATTTCTTTTGGAGTTTTAACTGGGTTGTTAAATGGGATTCTTTAAAAATAATATACTTATAGAAACTGAAATAATCTTGTTTTATGGATTTCTCCATATGCTTCCCTAATGTTGTTTTCATCTGTTGTTTTATGGACTGGTTTTGCGTTTAAAATGTTTTTATGTCTAGATTAAAGGACGTTTAACTTTTAGGTGTACCACCCCCCAAAGCTGTAGCATAGTAGGCCTGAGATACCTCCTGGTATGTTTATCCTGAATTGTTAGTAGCCACACTGGCTTCATTGAACAACAATCTGTCAGTGTCGGGTAGGCAATTAGAGGTCTTCAGGGTCTCCAGAGCAGGTCCAGAGGAGTTTACCTGTGGCTGGCTGTCAAGGATGAATATACTACGTACTTTATGAACTTGGTGCTCATTTCAGTATCGCTACAAACACTGAAAAAATATATAAGCAAAAACTGCGTTTAATATTGACTTGTTTTGAAATGTGACAAAACGTATTTTGTTTTGGGAAAAAATATAATAACCAATCTTTTCTCTCCATCAGAGGTGGCTGGATCCAAACAAGCCAATTAGGAAACAGTTGAAAAGTGAGCAAAATATTTTATCTACTTTGAATAAAAATCATCAGTAAATTCAGATAAAAATCTGAGTAAGCTAAAATATCAAATTCTAATCTGATGTTTTGGTTCAATTTAGGAGGATCACCCCACAATTTGAACTTCAGAGTCAAATTTTTTGTAAGCGATCCTAGTAAGCTTCAAGAAGAATACACACGGTATTTGTCTCTTTTATTTAGTAAAATGTAATACCGTTGGTATTAAATACACATACATTTGATTTTATAGAAGGCATTATATAAGGTAGTAGAGCCTCATCCTCAGAGAATCCTAGAAGAAATCAATTTCTAGATTTTTTTTAGTCATTCCTGAGTGGGCAGTTTCATTTGGTGAGCATGGGGAGGTAGGGTTGCATCCATGGTGGTTCCAACATGGTTAGGGTTCAGTTCTCTTCCCCATGCTATTTGATACCTATATGAAACCCTGGGGTAGGTTATGTGTCAGTTTAGGGTGACATATTATCAGTATAATTGAGTTATATATCACCATCCCAGGCTAAACCTGGATACTATCAACGTTCTGACCCAGTGCCTAGAGACTGTGAGAGCCTGGATGAGTCAAAGGTGAAATTAAATCCCTGCAAGAAAGAGCTGCTGTTTGTCAGTGATAGATCTGGATTGATTCCAGTTTCAGTGTTTACTCTAGATAGGGTTCCACTGTCCCTAAAGGAGTAGATCTGTGATTTGGGGTTTCTTTGAATTCAGGCTTCTGCTGGAACAGCAGGTTGAAGCCATGGGCACAAGAGCCTTTGCCCAGTTTTGGCTGATATGCCAGTTGCAGGCCTTTGGGGACAGGGAGGCATTCTCAACAGTTACTGTTGAGAGTATTCTTCACTCTCAGTAGGACTAAAGCAATGCATTCTATGTGGGCCCTGCCTTTGAAGATGGCTCAGAAGCTACAGCTGGTCCAAAATGTAGCAGCCTATCTGCTGACTAGAAATAGCACATTTAGCAAAGTGACACTAATGCTAGAGTTGCTGCATTGAATTCAGATTCAAAGTGCTGGTTATTACCTTTAAAACTTTACATACCTTGGTTCCTGAGTACAGTGGTACCTACTTACGAACGCCCCTACTTACGAAATTTTCGAGATACGATCAGCTCCGGCCCCAGAAATTTACCTCTACTTACGAATTCGCCTCGACTTCCGAGCCATTTTTCCGCCCGTGCCACGTGGTCCGCGGCCATTTTTCCGCCCGTGCCACGTGGTCCACAGACGCCGGAACGGATTAACGGTAATTACATTGAACCTTATGGGAAAATTTACTTCAACTTGCGACCAACTCAACTTGCGATCAGAGTCACGGAACGGATTAAGTTCGTAATTAGAGGTACCACTGTACTTACAGGTTCTTCTTTCTTTGCAAGATTCAGGCCACCCCATTCATGCTGAGTGGGGAGTATACTGAAGGAAAGTGTGCTGAGTGTTACCATGCACATAAAGAGAAGGCACTGGAACCCAATAACATGCTAAATCTCCTTGAGTACTAGGAAGTAGAAAAGTATATAAATCCTTGTATAAATATATAACTATATAGTAAATATCCTGGACAGCTTATTCATAAACATTTGCAAATTATATGAGATCTCCAATGCATTGGCACAAGCTGTTGTCTCTCTACAAGATGGATAGATTTATGCTTTCTAAATACATACATAAGGTTTTGCCCTTAAATTGCAAATAAGATAGTTCAAAGTAAATTAAAATGAGCTCCAAAAGACTTTAGGCATTTATCGAAACACTTTGCTAATCAAAACTTGTTTTTTTAAAAAGAAATTTGAATTGCATGTTTAATGTAGAGTAAGATATCTGTATGAACATTTTTTAAGAAAAGTATTTCATTTAAGAGTTGAAAGCATTTATTGCTGCAGTTTTGTTTTTGCTACAGTACCTTTAATCTTAGTTGATTTCCAGTGCAGAAATTTTTTACAATATATATTGTAAGTAGAATTCAGACAACTAATTTAATTTCACTGTGCATTTGCACACCTGCAATGCTGTATTCATCTGCTCCTGTTGCCGCTTTATGCCTGAAACAGCATTTTTCTGACAAACACGTAGTGTAAAATAACAGATATGTATAGAATTTCTACTCTTCTAAATTCGATTTCCTTTTTTATAATAATTTTATTAAAGATTATAATTACAATAGTAAAAACTAATACAAACTGAAAAAAAGAAAAGAATAACAAGAAAAATAGAAGGTGCAGAAAAGAAAGAAAAAAAGGAAAAGGGAAAAATAGAAATAGAAAAGAAAGAAAAAAATAAGAGCATAGTAAAGAAAAAGGAAATAAATATATAAAGAAGTGACTTCCCACCTTAATCACAAGTATAAACAATTTTAGTAACTTATCACCTTCTCTTAAAATACAACGGATGATCTCTTCTTCCCATATCCCATCTCTTATCTATGAACAAATCCATAAAGCCTTGTCATTTCAATCCTGATGTCAGCAAAAGTCCATTAAGTGTTACCAGAGATAACATATCTATTTTAACTTTGATCAAATAAACCAACTTTATATTCCTTCCTTTTACTTCTAACAATCTTGATCTTTAGTCCTGTCAATAATGTCCCAGAACTTGATTTCTTTTCATTTTTTCTTTGTTGCTCTCATAAAATTCTTCAAAACTTCAACAAGCCTCTTTTGTAAATCGAATGTAGAAAAATTATCCAGGTTAAGACATAAGCCGTTTTCTTTTGTATGTCCAGAGTAACATCTTTTCCCATGTCATTCTTGTAACCTGTCATTTTTAAATACACTTTCAAGTTAGTCTCAATCTTGTCAGGTAGAACTTGTTCCTCTTCCATAACATCTTTTAGATGCAGCCTATCTATGGAGGCAGACACTATGGAAATTAACTTCTGGGTCCATTGTCCAAAAATATCCTTCAGAATGTCCAATGTTAAAATATCTTGCTTCATTCTATAATTGTATGTCAAGTCTGACTATTCTTCTCCTTTAATTGTAATCTTTAGTTCCCTCTAGTGTCCAATTTTTAAAGTCTTATTATGTTTGTTGTTTTAATTCAAAACAAAAACATTTTCCCACAGGAAGGATTCTTTATATTTAATTCCAAAGTCTTATTTCAAATTTATCTGGACCCTTAGTCTGCTTGTAACCTTATGAAATCAAAGTTTTAATCACCCTTTTGCTGTTTATTCCAGCAATTTTTTTTAAGTTCTTAAAAGCGTAATTAAAACTTCTTTTATTAAGGATTGAAGGAAACTCACCTGGTGCTATAAAGCATGTCGATCCAAAGGTTCCTAATAGCTGAAAAGCCGTTAACAAGTGATTTCCAAGAGAGATTAGAAAAGGAAGTATGCAAACTCAATGTCCTTTCAAAGGCCCTGACTCCCATTTGAGCAAGAAAGTTCTTCCATCATCTCCCAGAGTTATAAATCCACTGGAGACTGCTATCTTGTGGTCTCTTTACGAGGAGCAGCTGTCTGGAGCACCTGTGGGTGATCTCAAGTCCTTTCCTCATCCAGAGGGATTATTGAAGAGCCGGTCTACTCATCAGCTCCGTTTTTCGTGGGGCCATCTTCAGTCCGCCATTTCTTCCCCAGAAATCCCTCTTTTGAATTCAGTTTCCATACAGTTTTAGTTCAGAGTATATTATTTTTAAAGTACGTTTAATGGATTAGAACCAATCTCTAAGATTACCATGTATAATAGGGCTTTCCTGACCTGAAGAATGAAGACTTATATTTTGATGACAGCCTCTGTGTCACCAAAATGTAACGTAAGATAACATAAGCAGTACCTTGAATTCAAAAGTATGAATCCTAAGAGTAAAACAAAAGAATCTTTAACCCAAAGAAGTTTATGTGAAAAGAAAACACCTGCCTCAAATATGAAACTAAAATACAAAATCCCATTACGTACTAAGCAGTCAAAACAAAATCCTGAACATCTAAACATTTTTAGGAATCCTCACTCAGTTAATGAATGCAAGACATGATCTGAGATACAGAGAATATTAAAGTGCCAGATTTAATACATATGCACTTAAAAGCAGTGTATCTGAAACCTAACTTAAATGATGATTTTTAAATATGTATTAATTAAACAAATGGTTGTAAATGTTGATGATAGACCAGTATCACATTTCTCTGACAGTGATTAAAAATTGTCCAGTCTTAAACATGGAAAAGACAAGGACAAGGAGTTAACAATGTGAGATTGCCTGAACAGTTTCATTAGATTTAAGATCTTCACCTCAATCTGTATTGGAGAATATTTAAGACATTTATTATTTATTACTAAATGCTCTATTTATACTATTTAGTATTAATATATTCTGTGTTGATTTTTTCTTTTAGTGTAATAATGAAAAAGAAATTTGCTTTTATTTTTGTGTTTTACTAGCCTGAAATAATAGTGTTTGGTAAAATTCATATGCTAAAGTCAAAAGGGATCTTAATTTTGTTAGATAAGGATATAATAGTAAGTTTGTTAACCTGTTGTTCTTGTTTACTTTTTTTTTAAGGTACCAGTATTTTTTGCAAATTAAACAAGATATTCTTACTGGAAGGTAAGAATGTATGCCTTGCAAACTAGAGTGTCTTGTGATTCAAGGTAGGGATGGGGAGCATTCATTAAACAGTGTGACATAATAAAATCAACCGATTGCACTCATTCTGTGAAAAATTGAAATACTTGTACTAAAACATTGTAGATAAGTTTGTAGTGATAGGACATCACATTTGATAATGAATTCAGAATTATGCTAAATAAACTTTTTAATGCTAAAGTTTTCTTATCTGTCTGCTAAAATTCTTGCACTTCCAATTCCCAACAGGATATAGAATTTCTGTTCCTTCCAGGTAGACAGTATGTTTTGTTGAAGCAGATAGTGGCCATATTTGTCTTGAATGACATGTCAGGATTCTTAGACACTGCTCATTTGCCTTTGCCTCTCCCTGATTTGCCAGCTACAAAACAAAGAAGCTGGTTTTACATGTTAACAGACTTGCACATCTTGCCAGTCTCTTTCAAGCTAGGATACATAAATCATAGTTCCTAATTTATAAATCCTGGCTTGTCTAGGAGTCAGGATATCTGGTTTGGATAAGTTAGCTAAACAAATCCCCTCTGTTTACAGTTGTAACAATGGGGAAAAGCAAAAAACCAATGATAGACTGCATCAGTGTTCAGCTTGTACATAAGAAACCACGATTATCCAGAATCCTGTTTTGGATTCTATTTTGATATGTCTATATAGGTAGTCCTTGGTTAATGACTGACGTGTTTAGCAACCATTCAAAGGTACAACAGCACTGAGAAAGTAACTTTATGACTGGTCCTCAAACTTAAAACCATTGTGGCATCCCCACGTGATCCCCATTCAGGTGCTTTCCAACTGACGCACATTTAAAACCATCATAGTGTCCCATGCTCATGTGATTGCCATTTGTGAGCTTCACAGTTGGCTTCTGACAAGCAAAGTCAATGGAGAAGCTGGCAGTACAATCACAATTCATGGTCACGCGATGTCTCACTTAATGACCGCAGGTGATTTGCTTAATGACCCCAGTGGAGCTGACATCATAAGTCCCCTGCAGTTATGTGATGTTTCACTTAACAGCTTAGTATCTCGGTGATGGAGTTGCCAGTCTCAATTGTGCTTATTAAGTGAGGACTACCTGTACATATCTGTTTATTCATATCCAAAATAATTAAATGTATACAGTGGTACCTCGGGATACGAACTTAATCCGTTCCGTGACTCTGGGCATATCCCG